GACAATTACCATTCTCATTTTCTAGAATACCCCCTGTGGCAAAGACTGCTAGATGCCCACCAAATCTATTTTCTCCTTCTTCTCTATTAGTAGTAGAGTTATTTAGCTGCCCAGCTAGAAACTGCACTTCCCAGCCTCCTTTGCGGCTGGGTGAGGCTATGCGATCATAGGTTATTGTCGATGCATGTGAGCAGAAGTGATATGTCACCTCCAAGCACAGGCCTTAAAATTTAGATGTATTCTCCTTTATGTCTGTTTCCCTTCCACTGGGCTAAGCATGGACCATGTTCTGACCATGAAGATGAGGACACCTTGGGGATGTCAGAGCAACAAGATGGAAGGGACCTGGTCACTGAATGACTGCAGAGAATGCGGAGGGCCCAACAATCTGGACCACTTATCTCAGGATTATTGCATGAGAAAAAACCAAACTCCTGTGAAGTCAGTATATTTGGGGATATCTTTGTTATAGCACTTTAGCTGTTTCTCTAACTAATACACACCATGTCATAATGCTCCTATCTCACTGAAGTGTCCAATCCATTGACTTCATTCTTACCTATTTCTTCCAATCTTTACTTCCCTTTGCATCTCTTTTAGATTCCGTGATTTATTATTATAATCACATCCCTCTTTCACTCTATCTTACTTGGCCAAACCTGTCTTTCTCGTGCCTGAGCTCAAGTATCTGAAGGTCACCGACAAGATCATACAACTGGGCTCACTGGTTTCCTGTTCTCAAACATCAAATGGACTTAACGTGGAAAATTCGACTGTTTTTATAATAAGCACAATTTCCTTCCTCTCCACTTTCTCAAGATGACTGTTTCATTTCCTCTCCTCATTCCTCAAATTCTCTACCTCCTTTCCTAAATTTAATCTCATTGGGTGACCTTGCCTCATCCTTTACCGAGAGAATGAAAGCCTTCCATCGCCCCAGCGCTGTTTCATCTGCCCCCCCCCCGCCCCCGCTAAATCTGCAAACACACCTGCATCTGCCTGCCCTGGAGAAGCTGGCCCTGCTTCTCTCAAGGGTGTCTGACTCTGAGTCTCTACCCCTTTTACCTTCTCAAAGTGTTTTCTTCTCGACTGGGTCATTTCCCAACAGCTTACAAATATCTCTAATAGCTCCTATCCCCCAACGAAACAAAACAAACCTTGGTATTAGTTTTCTATTCTGTGTAACAACCACCACAAACTTAGTAGCTTAAAAACACACAGATTTATTGTGTCACAGTTTCTGTGGGTGAGAAGTCCAGCATGTTTTTGCTGGGCTCTGCTCAGGGTCTCAGCAGGCTGCAAGCAAGATGCTGGCCAAGTCTGCGATCTCTTCTGAGGCTTGGGTTCCATTTTCAAGCTCACTACCTGGTGGCAGAACCCAGCTCCTTGCACTTGTAGGGCCGAGGTTCCCACTTTCTTTCTAACGTTCCACTGGGGGCCACTCTCAGCTCCTAGAGGCCACCAACTGTTCTCTGCCATGTGGCCTTCTCCACAACACAGCAGTTTGCTCCTTCAAGGCCAGCAGTAGAATCTCTTTCTTTTAACGGCTCACCTGATCAGGTCAGGTCCACCAGGATAATCTACCTTTTCATAAACTCAAAGTTAACTGATTAGGGACTTTAGTTATATCTGTAAAATCCTTTACCTTTGCCGTATAGTGTAACCTAATCACAGGAGTGAAGTCCCATCATACTCAAAGTTTCTGCCCTCACTCAAGGGGAGGAGATTATACAAGGCACATATACCAGGACGCAAGAATCTTGGAGGCCATCCTAGAATTCTGCCTATCACAGCCTATCTTGACTCTCACCTCCTCCAGTTACTGCTTCAAGTCCATTCTGTCTGACACAGCAACCTTAAAAGAGTAGTCTAGACTTGTCTCCATTTCCCATCCACTCCAGTCTGGCTTCCATTCACTGAGATTGGTCTTGTCAAGTTACTGGTATCCATCTTGCCAAATCCATTATGTACTTTTCTTTTGAATTTTTTCTTTGGTTTTTTTATGACGGAACATTTCAAACGTAAGTAAAATAGATAGAACAATATAATGAATGTCCATCAACTCAAACACCCAGCTCCAATAAACATCAACATGTGGCTAATGTTTCATCTCTACCCCACAACTTCTCTCCCCTTTATTCTTCTGGGTTATTTTAAAGCAAATCTCAGTTATTTATATCATCAGGAAATAAATCAGGACTTCAGTATGGACATCTAAAAGAAAATGACTTTTTAAAATATGACCACGGTGTCCTTGTCAATAAGAAAATCAACAGGAATTCCTTAACGTCACCTAATGTCAGTCTTCGAATTTCCCTGATGGCTCCATAAATGTCTTTTAGAGCGAGTTAGTTTGAATCGGGATCCAAACAACAGCCATTCACCACATTTGATTGATCTGGTTCTTAAATTTCATCTACAACAACCCCCTTTTTACTCTTTTTTTGGTCTTGCCACTTATTTTTTGAAGAAATGTGGTCATTGTTCCAGAATTCCTCACATTCTGATCTGGCTGCTCAAATCCCTCTGGCGATTTTTCACATGTTCCTCCGTCCAATGGGCCCTTTCCTGTTATCATCAGACTCACGGCTCAGCAGCCTTTCACTCTGCTGCCGGCTTTCTCCTCCTCAAGACACTCTCCTCTCCCGGTCTGGACAGTACCACACTCTCCTGACACTTCTTCCGCTTTCTTCCGCTTCTCTGGCCAGTCCTCTTCAGTTTCTTTCACAGTTTGCTCCTCTTCCACCCAACTTTGGAATGGTGGTGGCTTCTCAGGTCCCTGGCTGGGCCCTCATCCCTTCTCTAGCCACACTCCCTCCCTAGGTTAGTTCATCTGGTTCTGTGGCTTTTAATGACATTTAGATACTGTAAGACAGACCATTCTAGCCAAAACCTGTCCTGCAAGCTCCAGACCATTTATGTGGAGATTTACTTGATAGTTCCATTCAGTTCTGTCACTGGTATCTCAAATTAAACACCAGCTAAAGGGAACTAGGATTTCCTGCTCCCCAAACCTGTTCTCCCTCTGAATGAACGGCAGCACCCCACCCAGTCACTAGAGCCTGGAACCTAGAGTTTCCCTTGATTGCTGCCTTTCCCTTCACTTCTCATATGCAGCCTATCTGGGTCTGTCATTATAAATCTAAATTACACACGTCTGCATCAGCACCATCTGCACCCTGGTCCCAGCCACCATCCTCTCTACCTGGGTCACTGCTCCAGTCTCCTTACTTCCTTCTTCCATTCCAGACTCCCTCTGATCAATTCTCCATACGGCCCAAAGTAATCCTTTAAAAGCATAAATCAGATAATATAACTACCCTGCTTAAATGTGAATAATTGCCCAGTGCACTGAAAAAAAGTCACTCCCCACTCTGGCCTATGAAGTCTATGTAACCTGCCATTGCTTACCTCTCCCGTGCTTCTCTCTCCTTTGCTTTCCAATTACAAAAGGCCTTCTCTCAGGTTCCCCAAAATGCCATAGTCCTGCCAATCCCTCTGACTGAACGTTCTCCCTGCTACTCATCATGGCTGGTGCCCTCTTTTCCTTCAGCTGCAGCTTAAACAGTGCCTTCTCTAAAAGCCTGTCACTCACCACTGAGTCGAAGGGATTCTCTCGTATTACTCACTCTTTGTCTCCTTCAGTGCACTTAGCACAAATATGCTGATGTGCGCACTTGTTTATTATCCATCTGCCCCAGCAGACCATGATCTGTTTCCCCTTCTCGTGAGTGGTGAACTTATAGAGAACGCGACCCTATTCTAGCTGTACGATTGGGCTGACATTAACCAGCCAGGCTCCCAGGAGCCCTCCCAAGCTGCAGTAAACTCTGGATGCTGCATGCATTAATTATTCAGGAAGTGAACTCCAGGCCTGGTGGCTAGATTTTTTATATCATTTTTTTAAATGGAGATAAAAGTTATACATAGTAAAATGCACAAATCTTAAGTGTACAATTCAATGAGTTTTGACAACACCCTGCTCAAGATATAGAAGACTTCCATCACCCCCAAAATTTCTGCTTGCCCCCTTCCAGTCAATCCCCAAAGGCTATAGGGAACCACTGTGGGTAGCTGGATTTTCATACCCTGTTCAGGGCAGTGCAGTGTTTCTGTAATACTCCAGCCAATCCACATATCTTTTTTTTTTTTTTTTAGGAAGATTAGGCCTGAGCTAACATCTGCCACCAATTCTCCTCTTTTTGCTGAGGAAGACTGGCCCTGAGCTAACATCCGTGCCCATCTTCTCTGTTTTATATGTGGGATGCCTACCACAGCATGGCTTGCCAAGCGGTGCCACGTCCCCGCACCCAGGATCCGAACCAGTGAACCCCTGGCCACCGAAGCAGATTGTGCGAACTTAACCGCTACACCACCTGGCCGACCCTAATCCATGTATCTTGACACTACTATTTTTACCCATGAGACTCTTTTCTGATATTCAGTGTACTAACTGGCACTCTAGGGTTGATGGGAAATAAATAAGCTGAAGCTCTGGTCATGGCCGAGCCTGGAGAATGGCCCTGCTGGCTAAACAAGGGCTGATAACCTCCACCCACTCCTCTCTCAGTGTGAATTTCCAATTGGAGCAACTGTCTGCCCCTGGAGCAGAGCTTAAACTAACACACATCTAATATAACACTGTTTATGCTCAAATTCAGGAACTACAGCAAAGTAGAACCAGTGGAACAGGCTAGGCAAAACGGACCCTGGAAGGCTGGCTGGTGGGCCTGGGAAGCCGCCAGTGGCCCAATGGCTGGTGGTCTGCTGAAACAGCAGGCCTGGTTGACGTCCTCTGGGGCACACGCCCGGTCCAGCAGACACAGACCACATCAGAACACAGTCTTCTCTGGCCACCTGCAACCCAGCTTCAGAGCCACCTCTGACCTCCACTTCCCCTTCCACAATGCAGGGTGTTATTAGGGACTCCTCTGGCATGTAGAAGGAGAAATAGCTCCAGAGATGCACAACCAAATCTGCCCCTTTCTCTCTTTCTGCAGCCCCCATACTTTCCACCCTGGACTGAGAGATTCCTGCTCCTGGGTTCAACTCTTGCTGTCCTCCTTCCTGAAGTCCCCCTCGCGTACACCCTGGGGGCTAAGCAGGTGGGTTTCAACTCTCCACAAGTGTCCCCTCCCACCCCCATCCTTTCCCTGAGCACAGAGTGCAGCATATAGTGAGACCTCAAAAAGTGTTCCTTAATGGAAAATTGCTCTCCTGGCTCTCACGTTATCCTTATACTGAGCTTATGACATGGGCAGAAATTAGGAAACACACACACACACACACTGGTGCATGCACACCCACACATGTGCTCTGGGCCTATTTGCTGAATTGCATGGGGGCAGCTAAGCCTTAGTTTCCTTACCTGTAAAACGGGCACCATGTCAGATTGTCTCCATGTGCTAGTACAGGCCCACCCTTCACCTTTCTTCATTCTGCACTTGTCAGCGGAGGCTGACCTTTCCCAAGGCTTCAGCTCTCACCAAGTTCCAGGACCTTCCCTTGCTCCCCAGGTGGTTAAGCTTCCTGCTGCTAGTCCCAGTGCTTCACTAGCCTCTCTCAGCTCCTTTACCTCTGCCCACCACTTTGTAATAGTCCCTTCATCAATCCCTTTTCAAGCACCCCTTTGAGCATGCCCTCTGTTTCCATCCAGGGCCGTGACTGCTACAATTGGTACCAGAATAGCCCTGGGAAACAAATCCTTGGATGGGACCTGGGTTGGGTTTCTCACACATCTTGATTAGTGCGTGGATAGCCTCCTTGATGGGGGTAATGGACAGTGGTAATCTGTGGCATGCAGTGGCATCACAGTTACTTTGTGACAGGTGGTGGCAAGAGATGGACTGGTAAGATGCTGGGAGATCAAGTAGCTATGACACTTAGTCACTATGGTGACAGTAGTGATTATAGACTGCAGTGGCCTTCTGACTCTACAAGTGATTGCCCTAGGAAATACACACAAAGAAAAAAATGGATTAAAAGCCTTAAGCTGGGCTATACTGGGATATAATTCTCAGTATGGGCCTGGAGGCAATGAGAGGTGATGAGGGTATGTCCTGAGGAAAATCAGCTTTCCTGTGAGGCAGCTGCCCCAAGAGAGATCACTTGAATGGTTGAGAGATCAACTTGAATGGTTTTTATGTGAGGAAAGGCTAGTTTCCTCAGACAAAGCAGGGGGGTTGCTGCCTTCACCAACAAGGAGGATTCAAGGGGTGTTGGGGTTCAAAGTTCTACCCAAATGTCCCCATTCCATGTCTGGGGGTCCCATTCCTTCTTACCCAGTGCTGCTCCCTTAGCACAAGATACTTGGTGGAGTTGCACATTTCATTGGCTTTGCAACCCTGGAAACCTGACAGTCAGCGCCTGGGCTTGGTTCTCTGGTAGCCCTTTGGCTACCAAAGAGCAGATTCCTTCAGAGCCACCCTAGAGGCTTTCTAAACTTCCACCCTTGCACTGAGTCATGAGTTCAAGGCTTTCAGTCTTTTCTGACCCAGAGCGGATCCAACAGAACCACAGACCCATCCTGTGTCTGTACATGAACTGGCAGAATCCCCCTGCTGATTTCCTGACTCATGGAGTGAGCTCTTATCAGAGAAGGGCCCTGAACTGCAACTTCACCACCGTCAGAATAGCAAACCAAATGCAATACTACATCCCTAAGGAAATTTCAGAAATTAGTGCTACCATCAAAAATCTGAAACATGTAGAGGTTGTCATTCCTATCAAGACTCGGTTTAACTCACCTATTTGGCTGCTACAGAAACCAGTTGGGTCTTGGGAAATGACTATAGATTACTGTAAAGTTAATTAGGTGTGATGTCAATTGCAGCTGTGGTTCTAGACATGAAATTTTTACTGGAACAAATCCATGCATCTCTTGGTCTGGTGTAAATCTTTGACCCCAAATGCTTTCTTTTCTATTCCACTCGGTACAGATAATCAGAAATAGTTTGCCTTTGTGTAGCTGGGACAGTAGATATCTTTACTACCTTGAGGCTTTGCCTACTTTCCTGATTTCTGTCATAATAGAGTGCAAAGGGATACTGATTATCTTGTTAGAGTTCATAACATTATGCTGGCCCATTATATTGATGACATTCTGGTAAGTGGGCCTAATGAGCAGGAAATTGCAAGCACTTTAGATTCTTGGTAGAACCTACGTATGCCACAGGAAGGATGATAAATCCCACACAAATTCAGAGGCATGTCATGTCAGTGAGCTTTCTAGGGTATCCAGTGGTCTGGGGCATGTCAGGATCTCTCTTCTAAAATGAGAGACAAGCTGCTGCCCGCTACAAAGAAAGAGGCAAAATGTTTGATGGGACTCTGGATTTTTGAGGTGACATATGCCACATTTGCCAGTGCTGTTCTACCCATTTCCTGGAAAACGCATAAGACTGCAAGTTTTGAGTGAGGCCTGCAGCAACATAAGACTCTGCAGTGGGTCCAGACTGCAGAGCAAGCTGCCCTGTCACATGAGCTTTATGATTTGGAAGTGACTAGGGCAGAAAAAGATGCTGTATGGACAAGCTCCAATAGGAGAGTCACAGTGCAGTTACAGACCCTTAGGGTTTTGGATTAATTCATACTCTCTTCTGCCAATAACTATTCTCCATTTAAAAACAGCTCCTGGCTCACAACTGAACATGGAAGAGGCTGAATGCCTGACTGTGGGACACCAAGTGACCCATGCAACCAGAACTGGATATTATCTGACCCATCAAATCATAAAATTGGACATGCATGGTAGCATTCTATTATTAAAGAGTGTATATGAGATCAGGTCTGAGCAGTCCAGAAGGCACAAGGAAATTGCATGAGCAGGTGGCTCAAATTCCCATGGTATCTACTCTTTTTTTTTTTTTTTAAAGATTTTTTATTTTTTTCTTTTTCTCCCCAAAGCCCCCCAGTACATAGTTGTATATTCTTTGTTGTGGGTCCTTCTAGTTGTGGCATGTGGGACGCTGCCTCAGCGTGGTTTGATGAGCAGTGCCATGTCCGCGCCCAGGATTCGAACCAACGAAACACTGGGCCGCCTGCAGCGGAGCGCGCGAACTTAACCACTCAGCCACGGGGCCAGCCCCCCATGGTATCTACTCTTATTGCTTCACTGCTTCTCCCTCAACTTACACTTGGGGAAGTTGCTATGACCAGTTATCATGGAGGAAAATGCACAGACATGATTTCCAAATGAGTTTGCGTGGTCTGTTAGCACCAGCTACAAATGGACAACTGCTGTATTAGAGCCACACTTAGGGTGTCTCTAAAAGATGGTGCTGGAGGGATATGCTTTCAGTGAGCAGAACTCCTGGTTATATTGATTGTCCATTTTGCATGGAAGGAGAGATGACCGCAGGTACAGATCTACACTCATTCACGAGCAGTGGCTAACAAGTTCATTGGCTGGTCAGGGACTTGAAAATAATAAGATTGGGAGATTGGAGGTAAGGAGGTCTAAGATATAGATATATGGATGGACTGCTTGAAATGGGCACAGGCAGTGAAGCTCTTCTTAACCCACACAAATGCCCTGAGAGGGCATCCATTGCGAAAGAGGCTTTCAATAATCAGATGGACAAGACGACCCACACTGTAGATGACAACTTCTTTCCCCAGCTACCCTGGTTCTTGCTCATGGCCCATATACAAAGTGGCCATGGTGGCAGGGATAGGGGCTAGTCATAGTGTGGTAGGCAGAATAATGATCTCCCAAAGATATCCATGCCCTAATCCTTGGGACCTGTGAATATGTTATATTTTGTATGACAAATGGTGAATTAAGGTAGCAGATAGAATTAAGGTTGCAAATCAGCTGGCCTTAAAAATAGAGAGATTACCCTGAATTACCTGGGTAGGCCCAATGTAATCACAAGGGTCTTTAAATGCGGAAGCAGGGGGCAGAATCTTTGTCAGAGTGGTGTGATATGAGAAAGAGTTGATCGGCCATGACTGGTGTTGAAAATAGGAGGAGGGCGCAAGCCAAGGAATGCAGGCAGCCCCTAGAAGCTGGAAAAGGCAAGAAAAACAGATTCTCCTTTAGAGACTCCAAAAAGGAATGCAGCCTTGCTGACACCTTGATTTTAACCCAACGAGACTCATTCCAGGCTTCTGACGCCAGAACCGTAAGAGAATAAATTTGAGTGGTTTTAAGCCACTAAGTTTGTGGTAATTTATTACAGCAGCCATGGAAAACTAATACACATAGTCTCAATACATTTCCCTCACCAATCTGATCCAGCATCTGGCACTGCTGAGGGCCCAAGCTGCCAGCAGAAAAGACCAAGCTGAGTTTCCTATATGTTACTATTCCTTGGGGCAATGGTTCTCAAAGGGCAGACGAGGAACCCCTGGGGGTCTCCAAGATTCTTTCAGGGGTTCTATGAGGTCCAATCTATTTTCACACTAAGACATTCTTTGCCTTTTTCACTGTCATTCTTTCATGAGTGTATAGTGGAAGTGCAATTTTCCAGAGGCTACATGCCACGTGTACAACGGACTGAATGCTGAGCAGACTAGAGAACCAAGCTTTCTTCTACTAAGCCAGACTCTAAAGAGATTTGCAAAAATGGCAAATAATGCCATTCTTCTCACAATTTTTGTTTTGAAAAAGTGATTTTTCATTAAAAATATTATATTAACATGTTATGGATTTATTAGTTTTAAATATCTTAAAGCTTTAATTTCTAATCCAGCAAAACAGAGATATAACCCACATTAACAAAAACTCTTTGTAATTTTTAAGAGTGTAATTGTTCAATAATTTTTAAGAGTGTAAAGGACTCCTGAGACCAAAAATTTGAGAATGACTGCTCTAGGCAGAACCAGCTAGCTACTTATTTATTGGCAGGTTAACTACATTGACCCCTTCTTTCATGAAGGAAACAGTAGTTCATTACTTCATGGTAATAAATATGTATTCCTGATATGGACTTGCCTTCCCTGCCAGCACCATCATTTCTGAACTTTTTAGAATGTCTTATTTATCACTATGCTATCCTGCACACTGCCTATCTTCATTTTACGGTAAAGAGCATACAGCAATGGTCTCACCCATGGAATGCACTGGACTTACAATGTGCCCTGTCACTCAGAAGCAGTTGTCTGAATAGAATAGCTCCCAGCTGGGAGGCACCACCCTGCAGGGTTAGGTTATTGACGGCTACTGGATGCAGTACGTGCTTTCAATCAGTGGCCAATATATGGCTCCACCTCTGTCAGCCAGAACACAGAGGCCCAAGGACCAAGAGGTAGAGATGGGAGTGGCTCCTCTATTACTCAAAAAAACCTACTGGAGGCTTTTTTGCTTTCCATCCCCTCAACTTTGTGTTCAGTGGGTCTGGAGTCTTTACTGCCCAAAGGAGGAATACTTCTTCCAGGGAAAACACAGATGTGGTTCCTTTAAATTGGAAGTTGAGCCTTCCCTCTGGTCATTTTGAGCTCTGGGTGTTGCTTAACCAAAAGGCAGAAAGGGAGTCAGCTGTACCAGACAGGCGACCAAAGTGTTGGCAGGTGGTAAGAGGAATATGGAAGGGAGGGGGAGGAGGATGCCGTGATTGCTAATTTAGGCCTTGTGACCCGCCACAGAAGGCGGGGCTGTAGCAGGTTTTTGTTGTTATTCCTCCCTCGCTGTCTTACTGAAAGAGCCCTGGAGCTAACATTTTAAGATGGGATCCAGGTGAGTATGACTGAAGGATGACAAGGATGTGGTGGAGACGACAAGGATGTTGCGGTTGATGAGACTGTGTTTCCCCTGTTGGGGATGAGCGTTTTTTTTCCCTTCCATTTTTAAAAAATTGAGGTGAAATTCACATAACATGAAATGAACCATTTTAAAGTGAAAGATCAGTGGCATTTAGTACTTTCACGAGGTTGTGCAACCATCACTATGATCTATTTCCAAAACTTTGTCATCACCCCGAACAGAAATTCTGTAACTATTAAGCAAGAGGGACATGAGTTTTTCATCTGAAGGACAAAAGTAGATGGTGGGGGGCAAAAGGAATGGCTCTGCTCCGATATCCTGTCTCCCCTCACTCCATTTCCTGGAAGGCTGACTTGTGTGGACTGAACTCAGTGAAGTCACTCAGGGACCTTCCCTTTTGACTTTCAGATGGGTTTGGCCAAGGGGAGGCACCAGCAGGATCAAAGTCAGAATACTTATCCCTGGCTCCCTGCCTGGCAGGAGCTGTGTTCTGCTCCCCGTGGCTGCGGCTCCAGCAGGCAGCCCCCCTCCCACAGTAACCGCTCCCTCCTCTTGCTCTTCACGTCTCGGGGCTGTAATGGCTTCCTGGAGTGTGAGCCCCCAGGGTCCCATCCCTCCTAGGCTCCCTTAACCCTGCCCACACCTGTGTAAAGAATCCTGAAGGCTCTTCAGTATCCCTTTGAGTACCATCTGTTTCTTGTTGGGACACCGATTGATACAGGAATGGATGGTGTGGTCCCTCCCTACCGTCCTTTTGGCACTCACCACTTCAGATTTTCTGAGTCAAGCCAGCTCTGTTCACAGGTACCGGTCTGGGCAAAGGAGATGCTTTCCTGGACAATCCAGGTTCCAAGGGTGCCTGGGGTGTGTGCCAAGGCCCCACTGCCCTCTGGTGGGCAGCTCCTGGAAATGCACCTCAGGGATCCAACATCAGCTGGGCACGCACACTGTACCAGCCCATTACCCACCTGAGCACATTTCATCCAGAGTTTATTGTCCCCACTTAACAGGTGAGAACCTTTCCACGGCCCTTAGTATAAAACAAAATCTTAACTGTGGACTGCAAGGTCCCACCTTTTCTTCCCCTCCTGTCATTCCCTAACCTAGCCATGCCAGCCTTTCCTCACACGTGCAGCTCCCAATTGGAATATTCGGGAACTCCGAAACCTTCCTCACCTGGTTAACCTCAGCTCATTCTCTAGTCCTCTCCTAGGGTATCACTCAGGAAGATCCTCTTCACCACCCATCCCCCCCCCCCCCCACCTTTCATTCACTGTCATTCACAAACACCCTGGGTTTTTCCTGGTCTCTATGAATGTTTGATTAATGCCGCTCTGCCCCCCGCTGAAGGCGCCTGAGGGCAGGGAGCATCTTGCTTCACTCACCACTGTATCTCCGGTGCCTGACACACAGTAATCACCACACCAGCAGCTGACATGGATTAGGCATTTCTCTGTGCCAGCCATTGAGCTAAGTCCTTCAGGCCCCCAGGCCACCCTCCTCCCCAAAGTCCCTGGTCCCCAGGAAGCAGCCCTCAACTCTATCAAAAACTCATACCGATTTATTAGAATATGAAAAAGATTCGGTTTCTGTACAGGCGGCAGAGCGGGAGCAGCTGTGGTGGCTTTGAACATGGTTGTCAACATCATCCTCGCATGGTGACTCCTGCCCAAAACAGCACTTGCATGGAGAGGAGGGGAGACAGATGAGCACCCACTGCCCAGTCCACTGGGAAGAGGGACACTCTGACTATTGCACAATCCTGGGGAAGGGAGTGCCCACCAATAGGCCTGGGCCTGGCCATGGTGGCAGCGGGGTGGGAGTGTGTGCCTGTGAGGAAAGGCCTTTGGGGGCCCAGGACCCTGGCCATCCACCAGCCCCAGCTGGGCAGAGGATGCTCAGGGGAGGCCTTCTACCCCGAGGACTGGGCCCCACAGCAAGCTGGGTGCAGTGTACAGAAGAGGGAGATTCCAGGGGCCAACAGGGGGATGAGGGAAGGGACAGGCGAGCAGGAACTGAGGGTCAGGCCCAAGAGCAAAGAAGGCGCCAAGAGGCCCAGCGTCTGAGAGTTAGAGAGAATTATGACTGGGTTGGGGGTCACTTCTGAAATCAGAGCCTTGGGGCCACAGTTAAGAGCCCAAAAGGCAGAGGACCGATTTAGGGGAGAGTGTTGGGCAGACAGGCACAAATGAAGAGGGGTAACTCTCTGGAGTAGGAGGGCAGGGCCGGAGCTCTGTCAGCCAGGGGTTTTTAAAATGTTTTAAAAACAGGAATGCCCTCTGTGCAAATAGAATCATACATGGAAGTGTGAACAAACAGAACAGATAAAAAGGCAGCACTTTCTGTAGCCCCTGACAGTCCTCCCCTGACAGCACCCCTGAAGGGCCTGCTGGTCCCTTGGAGCACAGTCTGGAAAGCTGAGTCACGTTACTGTCCAAAGCGCCCCAGCTCCAGACAGAGAAGCTCAGAGATGCCCTCAGCCTGCAGCTCTGAGTAAGGACAGGTCAGGGTGGCTGGCCAGGGTGACAGAGCTGGCAGGAGGAGAGGACTACCATGGGTCACCAATCCCTCCCCCAGTCAGATGCCTGGTCCCCTAGTCTTTCCCCTGTTAATGGAGGGCCTGGCCTAGGCCAAGGGAGGCCTTGGCTCCTTCCCTTCCCAGGTGGGACCAAGGCTGAGCCAGAGGCTCTTTGGTTAGAAACTAAGATTGGTTTGAATGAGGAGAGTGATGGAGTGGGAGGGGGACCTCTGAGGTCTGGGAAACTCAGAGGCCCTAGTCGGGGTATGGGAGAGAGCCTGGATCGGGAAGGGGCAGGGGCTGCCTCACGGCCCAGCAGTTCTGCCTAGAGGACTGGGAAGGCAGTTCTGGTGGGAGGGAGGGCGCTTCCCAGGAGGCAGGGGGAAGCCGTGCTGCGATGGGGGCTGTGGGCCCAGCTGCCATGCGGTGGGGAGAGGGGCAGGGCCAATCCAGGTCAGGAAGGACGAGGGAGCCCTCCGTTCCCCCAGCAGCCCCTACTCTGGTGGGAGAGTCTGTGGTAGGATGGGCACTGCCCGCTGGCCGCAGGGCTACTGCCCCTTGGGGATGAAAGGCTCTCCTTCCCCAGGCTCAGGGTGAGGGCCTGGGTCACTGAGGCACCGCTGTATCCTCTGGGAGCTGGGGCTGTCACTTGGCCCAGGTGTGAAGACATCATCGGTGCCTGGGGACGAAGGCTCCTTGGTCCGCATCACAATGCCCCCATCGTCATCATCCTCGTCCTCCTCAGCCAACCTTGGATCCCGGCTCAGCCCCAAGACCTTGCCCTTCAGCTCCTCATTCACCAGGTCCACGGACTCAGGCGACTGCGGGGAGGCTGGGTCGATGGTGATAACAGGCAAGTCGGCCTTTGGCTCATAGGCCAGCGGGTCTGGGGACCAAGAGCAAGGCACAAGCTGGCTTCTGCCCCTGAGCCCTGCCCAGCATGCATCTACCTCAGCCCATGCCAGCGACTCCCATGGAAGCTTCCTGTGAGCACAGCAATCCTGAATCAGTCTACGTGGACCTTTATGAGCCCTCATCAGAGAGCTTCTCTTCCCCTTAGCCTGGGGCTCAAAGGGAGGACTGTGTTCCTCTCCTCAGACCTGGGGCTCTCATAGGTGCCCCTCCTCAGACCAAGAATTAGGCCTGAGGTCCTTCCTGAGTTGCTGTCTGCTCCCGGGGCAGACCTAGGAGAGGCCTGCCCTTGTTTCCCCTAAATCTTGGAGATCCCAATGGTACAGACCCCTCCTGCCTCCCTGCCAGGCACCCAGCTCCCTTCAGGCCTCACCGTGAGCCCCAGGTGGAGCACCTCTGTCCCTGAGGACAGCAGGGCCATTCCTCTGCCCCCTTTGGTGAACTCCCAACTCCACCTGATGCAGGAGGAGCTCACGGCTTGGGAGGAGGTGAGGGAGAAACCTGTACTCCCTGCTGACTCTGAGGCCTGTTCCTGTGGGAGCCTCATCAGGAGACGGTGGCACTGAGGGCCAAGTCTCGAGGCCCCTCTCCAGGCACCCTGCGCCCTGCCTTACCTGAGCCGATGCGGGCCCGTGACATGGTGGGCGAGTCCAGCTTGTGGGCAGGCACCGTCAGGTAGTTGTTGATCTGACAGAGAAAGCAGACAGGGGTGAGTGCAGGCAGCCTCTCCGGATGGCACCGGAAGCTGGTGGCTATGCGCTTCTTTGGCCTGTTCAGAGCGCTCTCTCCCTCTCTGTCAGTTCCACATCAGGCTCTTCATCTGCCTGTGCCTGCGCTGGTGCCGTGCTGGCACTTCAGGGGATCCTGGGGGCTCGTCCTGGGTTCTCATCAAGCCATGTCATCTCCTGGGCTGCCTCCCCATGGTGACACTGCCCCAGCTTCCAGCTCCAGTCCACACCTGTCCCTGAGGTCCAGACCCATAAAGAAAGCTCAGGAGCAGACAGCTGGGCCCTGGATGACCCGCAGGCATCACAGTGCAACATGTCGGAACTGAGCTCATCTCCTTATCTTCCCTCAAAACTTTGCTCCCTCCTCGGCATCCCCTATCACAGCCAGCAGTCCCAACTACCCAGAAGGCTAGATAAGACCCCTGACTCCTTTTCCTCTTCCCTCAGCCCCACCTCAAACGGGTGACCAAGTCTCACTAGGTCCCCCTCCGAGATGCCCTGAATCTACCCACTCCTCTTCATCTCCCCCATCACTGCTCTAATCTGGGCCACCCCCACCCCTTCCCATGTCACTCCTTTGCTTAGAACCCTTCATGGTTCTCTATGTCCCTGGAATAAAGCCCAAACTCTTACACCATTAAGAGAGTTCCTTGAAAGCTGAACCCTGCCAGTGGCTATTTCTAGAATGGGCCACATTCTGTGACTGAGAACTTAGGCACAAGATCTTCCTTCTGCCTGGACCACTGCTCTGCCCACACCCTCTTCTCCCTGGCTCTTGTTCCTAAGCGTAGCCTGACTTCCTTCCCGTTCAAGGTGTCCAGGGCCCCTTGCACTTCCTGCCCTGGATGGGCCACTGCATTAGAAGCTCTGCAAGAGAGGCACTGGGCTGAGTCACCGCCGGATTCACAGGCTACGCTGCTGCTTGGCACTTAGGAAACGCTCAACAAATGTTTCCTGACCAAACGGATGAATGCGTATGTGCCTTGTTTTGTGACCCTGGGCAGGTCCCTTTCCCCAGGGACCTTAGTGAGAAATCACTAGAAAATGGGAGGTTGGAGAGGGCACACGGATAGACTCTTCTAGCTCAGAAGCCTGAGGATACAATGAGGGGCCCTGACCTCTTCACTGCTCTGAGGTGGGAGGGGGTGAGGAGGTAGCAGCTTTCTGGAACCTGCCCTGGAGCTTCGCCTTTGAAACAAGAGGAGGAAGCCAAAAAACCAGGTCAGAGTGGCTCTATCTTCAAAAGGGCTTGGTGGTGGGGGTGCACGAAGAGGAAGGACCCACATTCCCAGAGAAAGGCAGGAGCGAGCTCCCGTCCCAGACGCACCTTCTGCTCTAGTTGCCGGGCCTTCTGTCTCCGGAGCAGCATCTGGTTCCAGGCCTCCTCGTAGGGGTCTGCCACCAGCGTGTGTCTGTTGTAGGACCGCAGCTGTGAGGGGAACAGCTGTCAGGTGGGGCAGGCCCCAGAACCTGGGCCTAGAGAGGTCGAGGTGGCCCTGGGCACATGGGCAGCAGGGCTGGAGCAGAGAGGAGGAAGAGGGGCTCCTCTGCTGGAGAAGGAGCTGGGTGGGAGGGAAGACCCACCCGCTGCCTGGTCTTCTGCAAGTTGTTCCTCAGGATTTTGCGGATCTCCTCCTCCTTGTCCTTGGACAGTGCTGGCAGGATGCGCTCAGCAGGCAGGGACTTGGGGTGGATATTCCTGGGATAACAGGGCACAGGTTAGGTCCCCGAGAAAATTCCTGTGATTCTGGAGCCTGCAGGGCTGGGCCAGAAGGAGGTCACCCCGGGATGGCCCAGGTGGGTGAGCAAAGCCTCAGGTCCTCAGTGTGGCCCTGCAGCTCTCTCACTCGCCCTGACAGGACAACAGAGGGGCCTGGCTCAGTGTCCCCCAAAGGTGGCCTGCTCCCGGATGGTGTCGAGGGGTCAGTGTGTGGGTGCAGAAGCTGCAGGGTTGGCCATTAGCACTCACTGCATGGAGACGGTGGAGACGGCGGAGGGGATCTTGCCCATGCCCCCACTTTCCACCAGCTCAATAGCCTGCTTCATCTCCATCTTGTGGTAGAAGGCGATGAGCTGGGGCTCCTTGGAGCGCTCGCCAGCTATCAGACACTTCTTCACGTACTTCTTATTAAACCGGTTCAGCCTGATGGGAGGAGGGAGGAGATGGTTATAACCAGCTCCTTGGGGTGGGGAGACACCCAGGCCCTGGGAGACCCTTACGACCCTCCCTGCCCACCTGCCCACCAGGCCTGCCACCTACTTGTCCTTCCAGTGGTGGTGGCCGTAGTGGCCACAGATGTCCTCGATGCCTGTCAGAAGGTGGTCCAGGAACTGAAACGGGCCCAGGGCCAGGTCAAGCCTTACTACTGGGCTCCTTCCCTACCAAGACTTCTGAATAGGCTCCCCCACCTTCCACCCTACGGCAGCTCTGCCAGCCCAGCCCTGTAGTTCCAGGGACAGCCAGGAGGTGGCGCCTACACCTCACTCATCCTGAACTCCAGTGGCACCACATCAAGCCCTCTGCCACTGGAGCCCCGCTGAGCCTCCCTCTCTGAACCCACCTGTGCCCAATGCCTGGGATGGGTTCCTACTAGAGACAGATGGCATGATGCCCCTCCTCAGGCTCCAGGCTGCTCATACCACAGCTCCCTATGCTGTGACCTGGTGACCTCAGGAGGCTGAAAAACCACTTCGGCATTTGGATAAGGGAAGAAGGGCTGGCTGAGGGCATGGACACAAGGCCTAGCTGCTCCCCAGCTCCCTGGGCCTTCTCCCACAACCGAGGGCCCAGGCCCAGCTTCCAGTACCTGCGTGTGGATCTCCTCATTGATGGAGCGCTTCGTTTCTTGCTTTTTCTTCACAGCCAACAGGTCTACCAGGGGGCGAATGGTCATACCCTGGGGGGCAGTTGGGTGTCAGGCACTCCAGTTCTGCTACACTGGCAGGGAGGCCACAGAGCCTTCCTCCCTCCCCCCAGGGCCCCTGAGGCAGGGATGCCTTCTCCTCTGAGGTCCCCCATCTTCTAATCTCCGCGCCAGCACTTATGTAAAGGCCGATCCTTAAGGCCTGCTTCTTCCTGAAGACACAGCTAGAGGTGTAACAGCCCACCCAGTCGAATGACTCTCATTGTGAGCATCTAGCCCAGGGCCAGGGGTCAGAGGGCCTGGATTCAAGTGTGGGCTCCACTACAGATGTGTTCTGCAACCCCAGGGAAGTCAGGATGGCTAACAGAGAGAACCACCTCTGCTCTGTCTCCCTCACAGGACTGAGACCACGGAGACCTAGTAACAGCAGCAGCAGTTAATTTAGCCGCATACTTGCCATGTGCCATGTGCCAGAGCCAGTTGTGTTTTACAAGTATTAGCTTTTCAATACCCAGAACGGCCCTAAGAGGTAGGTCCTTTCATTGTCCCCATTTTACAGATGAGGAAACTGAGACTCAGAGAGGTAACTTTCTAAGGTCTCACAGAATTAGTAGAGCTATAATCAAACCCAGGCAGGGAGGTCCCTACCTCAACGCTGCCTTCACTGAAAATGGGCTTGACAAACCATTACATATAACACTGCAAAGTCAAGGTGATAAAATATTTTTGAAGATAGAAGTAGGGCAAGAGGACAAAAGAGGCACTCCCCTCTCCTAAAGGACAGAAAATAAGTACCCTCCCAAGAGGTGTCCTCTACATATTTTTCTCCTGAGAAGGCAATGATGTTTCCCACCTAGGGCTCTGCCAGGATTAGAGCCCAGGAAAGACGGAGGGGATGGCAGAGAAACGGAGGCTCAGACAGAGTGTTTCTCACATGCCCAAGGTCGCAGGTCAGGTAAGGTGGAGTAATTTACACCATCCCAGGCTGGGCTTCCTTGGAGACTCAGGAGGTTGGGGGTGGGCTCTCAGCTAAGCCTGGGTCATTTAAATGCACAGAAATCGCTGACCACTAGACTGGAAGGATTCTTCAGGATCATCTAGTCCAGTCCCCTCACTTCACAGATGGGGAACTGAGAGCCAGGGACAGGAGGAGCGTCTTTCCCAGGGTCACACAGGCAGCAGCAGAGCTTGGACTGACTCCACACCTCCCGCTGCCCAGCTCAGTGACCTTTCCGGTGCCCCTCGTTGTGCTATTGTTCCCATTTTACCGATGCAGAAACTGAGATCGTAAGCTATTAAATCACTTCCCTGAAGTCCTACAATGAGCATCGTGGGCCTGCTGACTGTACTCGCTTCTCTTAATGCTTTCTGGGTTCCTAACTAAGCTAGGCAGCATCCTGTTCACTTTACATTCTGCTTGGTCACTTTGCAATGACTCATTATCACAATTCACCCTTTACAACTGAGGAAACTAAAGCCCAGAAAGGGGGCGTGGCTTGCCCAAGGCTGCACAGCAAGTTATTGGTGGAGTTGGGACTAGAACTCCCTCTTAGGTCACGCACTTCCTCTATCCACTGGCAGTCAGGGTCCCCACACAGGGCTGCTCTGCCCTGTCCAGCACCTGCACAAAGACGGTGAAGAAGATGACGGTGATGATGGCAGTGAGGAACAGCTCACACATTGGGAAGTGCTTCTTGTCCAGGAGGTAGCCCAGGGAGAAGGCGATGGCACCTCGTAGGCCCCCATACGCGATGATGAACTGGTCCTTGGGGGTCAGCTTCACGATGCGGAACTTGTTGATGAACCAGGTCAAGCCCAGCACACCTGCCAGGGAAAGGCAAAAAGAGGGGTCAGGCTGTCCCCAGCCTCTCCTGGCTTCCATACCAGTGACTTCTGTCCGCAGGAGCCTCCACTAGTGAGCTTGCCCAGTTCATTCATTTCCCGGGTCCCTCAGCCCAGCGTGCTCTGAATCCCTGAATCCAAGGGCTGAGTGGATCCTTAAGGGGGGTCTCCCAACCTGGATGTACTTTAGAGACATCACAGAGGCCTCCAGTGGCCAAAGGTCGGGAGCAGAAAGGGAAAAGAGATAAAATAAGACTGGCCACAGGTTGATACCCATTAAATATGATGGGTACATAGGATCTACTTTTCTATGTGTTTGAAATTTCCCATAATAAAGTCATTAAAAAATGCAGAAGTCTGGGTCCAGCCTCAATCCATGGAACAGAATCTCTGGAGGACAAGGCCCAGGATTAAAGGGTTTTAACACTGTGCACCAAGTAACTGTGATGCCCAGACAGGTTCAGCGATCATAGATCTAATCTCAGAGAGGAGGTGAGTGAGATCATGAGTGGGGAAGTGATGCAGTCACTGAGGTGAGGCGTGTCTGGAAAGTGTAAGCAGAACCCAAGGGTCCGAGGCCTGGTCCCCGTGTGCAGGCCCAGGCTGGCAGCATAGATTTGGAGGAGCCACACACAGCTTTGCAAGTGCTCGAGTCATCTGTGCCACGAGACAGCTCAGAGAACACTCACAGACCTGGGCTCTGTGGGCCTTGGTCTCCTCCTTAGAAATTGACAGGCTCAGAATCACAGGGTCCCTGAGGCCCCTCCACTCTGACGCACCACGACTGTCTCCCTACAGATCACAGACTCACCGCCAGCATGGGCTTCTTTCCCCTCATGGGCCCATCATGGCCTCAGTGTGGCAGAGAGAAGAGGTGGGGAAGCCCCTGCCATCCAGCTGTGCTGGCAGCAGCCAGGAGCCAACCTGGGCCCCTCCATACAACACACTACCCATCCACTCAACACCCACCCCCTAACCCCCCACCCACCCCCACTCAGGCCTGGGGCCTCACCCAGTACTCGGGCGATGAGGCAGAAGATTAGGGTGCTGATGACAAAGGTCCAGTTCCAGTGGTGGGAGCCAGCCACAGTGGAGACGCCGAGGAAGATGAAGATGAGGGTCTCGCTGACACTGCTCCACATCTTCAGGAAATATTTGATGGTCGTGTGGGATTTGTGGGAGATGTTGGCCTCCACGTAGGGGCGCATCACCACTCCCGAGGCAATGAGTCTGGGGTTGGGGAGGAGTGGGTTTCAGGGTTCAGATTCGAGCTGTGCCTTCCCGGAGCCCCGCCACTGCCAGGGAGGCTGACAGGTGCCTGTTTACTGAGCTCCTCTTACAGGTCAGATGCCCACTGCGGGCTTTACACACTTGTTCTCACTCAATCCTCACATCAACCCTACAGGCCTGGGCATATTCCTGCATTTTTCAGATGAGGGATCTGAGACTTGGAGAAATAAAGTTGTCTGCCCACTGTCACACTGGCAGCGAGTGGCAGAGCTAAGACGCAAACTACGGTCTGCCCAACTCCAAAGCCTGTGCCCTCTCCCCGAGGCCACACTGCCTCTCTGCTTACAGGGCATCAATTACACACATCCGTGGCCTTGGGTTTATTCCCCAAGTGTGATGCCCCCTAATGCACAGGAGACCCCACAGAGAGCTCTGTTCCATGCAGCAGCCCAAGCTCTCCCAGCCCAGCGCCCACACCTGGACTCCAGTCCTGCTGGCCTGGCTTCCTCGCTGTCACCCTGAATCCCCTAATCCAGGCCTGCCTCTGCACTTACAACGTCTCCCCTACTGGGAACACCTCTGCGCCTCACTGCCTCTCCACACGCCCGCAACTTCAGGACTCAGCTGAGGCCCCAGGACCTCCAAGACTCCTCACTTCAATGGAGGCCTCGAGCCTCCTTGCTGGGGCTGCTGAGGGGCGCAGTGAATGCAAGTGCCTGCATCCAGCTACAACCCAGGGAGTCCCTTTGAGACAAACGAAGGGAAGAAGTGGCAGGACCGAGATTTTCCAGAACTTTAAACTCAGTGCTTCCACGGGCAGTCCCAGGCCCTGGAGCATGGTGCTCGAGTCTCATCCCTGGAGCTGGAGGCTGGGCCCTGGGGAGCTCCCTTGTGACCCTACCAGCCTGGGGAATCCAAGTTGGTGGCCTCCCCCACGCTGCGCCCAGACTCACGCCATGATGCCTGACAGGTGGAAGAGCTCGGCTGACAGGTAGGCCATGTAGCTGTAGAGGAAGACGAAGAGCGGCTCGATGACGCGGATGTGGGAGGTGAATCGGGAGGTGAAGGCTGCGATGACCCCGTAGACCACGCCCACAAACACCCCGCCCAAGGACACCACGAAGAAGCTCAGGAAGCCAAGGACAATGTCCACGATGCCCACATGGTCGTAGTTGGCAAACTCCTCAAAGAGATGATACAGGACCTGGAGAGGGTGTGCAGGCTGGTCGGCGGGAGGGCAGGGCCCTGCCCCACAACTCCCTGGGGTCCACCCAGGGTGATCCTGTCCCCTCCATTGACCATGGCCACAAGAAGAGGCCATGTGGTAGCAGAGGAACCCTGGTGCCAAGCAGGTACTCAAAACCACTGGTCTGGGGGCCAGAGGGTCTTGCTCTGGGGCTCCAGGATGCCATGCTGGTGAAGAGCACAGACTCTGAAGCCAAACTGCCTGGGCTGGAATTCCAGCTCTGCCGCTCCCTAGCTGTATACTGGGGAGAATTACTCCATCTCCTTGTGCTTCAATTTTCCTATCCATAAAATGGGGATAATGGTACCCACATTATAGGACTGTTGTGAGGATTAAATTAGTTAATAAAGGAAAGTGCTTAGAGCCATGCCTGTCACAGCTTCAGCTCCTCCTGGCATAACTACGTTTGCCTCTCGCTGTTTGACCTTGGGCAGATCACGTCCCTGTCTGGACTTCAGTCTCTCCTTCAGCAAAAAGCAGGGAAAGTTCAGAGAGTGAACTAGAACAGGACTTCTTAACCTCTGAAGCTTTCCGACAATACACACGGCCAGGCCGTACCCGAGCTGGACTCTCTGGAGGCGAGGACCAGAAATCTCGCCAGGTGGCTGTGATGAACAACCAAGTTCAGTACTATGGAACTAGAGGCTCTCTAAGGCCTCCCCACCTCCTGGACTGGGAAATAAATGGTCGTCGTAATAAGTGGCACTTCACACACCGTCAAGCCCTTTGACAATGGTTATCCTGCTTGACACACAACAGCCTCATGAGATAGGCTGGCCAAGGATGCCTAAACTGAGGCTCAGAGTGGTGAAGCAACTCGCCAGAGGGCCCCCAGCTTGGGAGCAGCAGAACTGGGCCCAGAACTTGTTCCCTGACAGCAGTGGGTGGGGCTTCCCAGGCAGGTTCAGCTTCGAGGTTCTGTCCCTGCTTAGGGTTGGCTCCCTGGCTGCCTGGCCTACTCCTAGACAGCTCTGCCAGGAAACCAGCTGGGAGTTTCCGTCCTGGGGGGTGCTGAGGGAGAGGAGAAGGGGACCTGAGGATCCCTGAGAAGGAATTCTCCAAAGCCCCCAGTAACTGGGCAGCACCTGGAGGCAGGGGGTGGGGTGGGGGTGCTTGCTGCAGGGCAAAGGCCTGAGACCACACAGCTCAGGGGCAGCCGTTACTTTTACTGTCTGGGAAAACAGGGCACTCAAATCCATATCCAGAGCTCTAGAAAAGGCCCAACTTGGGCCAGGCAGGAAGGGGAGATGTTGAGCACTGGCCAGTCCTTGGTGCTGCCTGGACCAGAGTGGTCTGGGAGACAGGGCAGGGCTCCAGCAGTGGACAGCAGGGGCAGTCTCAGCCCTGGGCTACCTGAATTCACTCCTGGCCTGAGATTCATAAGTCCTCAGGGTGCACCACCTGGGCCAATGGAGTGGGCACAGACAACAAGGTCCTCCTTCCTAGCCTGGTACTATTGTCACTGGGACGAGAGAGGCAGTGTAGCATGCATAGTGGTAAGTGTCCGGGCTCTGGATTCAGACTGTGTAGATTTAAACTCCAGCTACATCACTTATCAGCTAATATGACCTTGGACGAATTCCTTAACCTCTCAGTGCCTCAGTTTCCTCACCTGGAAAATCTGGGGATAATTACAGTGCCAACTTCATGGAGATTAGATGAGGCAATAAACATTCAGACAGGAAGTGTTCAATGAACACCAGTGAATACTGCCACCATCTTGGGGAGGCATGGCTGTGGGCCCAGGGCGGCTGGACTGAGGTATCCACTTGACACAACCGTGCCCCACTGCTCCCCAGTAGTGCCAACCTGTACCCCAACACCCAGATCCACTGGGAGGGCTTCAACTTTGGCACCTACTAGTTTCAGACATTAGTGAGTGTGACTCCTGTAAGAACCGTGGGAGGATGACAGGCTAAGTACTGCAATCCCTGTTACACATGGGGAAACTGAGGCTTGCACGGTAACCCTGGGCAAGAGTTGGTGCTAGAGAAACCAGGACTGTGGCCTGCCTAAGGCCAGGCTACCGCTCTACCAGCCCCACGAGGAGCTGACAAGGGTGTGGGGGAGAGGAACACGAAGAGGAAGCCAAGGCTGCGGGCAGCCGACCACCACTGTCTGTCTCTTCTTTGAGGTGCGGCTTCCTGAGGGGTTGGGGGTGGGGAAAGAGGAGTGCATGTGTAAGTGTGCGCTGGGTGTGCACACGCGTCCTTATGTTTGCCTGTGTATGCAGCTGCTCTCTGAGGGGGCCAGCTAGGAGGAGTATGGAGGTGTTTTCACAACATGATGTGAGTGTGCACATACACGTCTGTTTCCTGAGGAAACTGGCTGGGAGGAAGGACGTGTGCAAGTATATGCAGCACTGCCACGTGCAGACCCTGCGTTGAGGGCATCCGTCCTCACTAGACCCTGGCAGGAAAGCACTAACTATTCTGCCCCTTCGCAGCTGTCAAAGCTGAGGCCCAGAGAGGTAAAGTCACTTACCAGGCCAACTCACTTTACTTATCACTCTCTCGAGGTTTGGGAGGCAAGGTCCCTTTCCACAATTGCTACCCCAAAACTGTGCACAAACCAAACTCTAACTTAAGACACGGCCAACATGAAAGCTGAAATGCCACTCACAGACTAAATGGTCTGTAAAGGGTAAACTGAGGCACAAAGAGGATAAGTAATTTAACCAAGATCACATCACAATCCAAGTCAGGGACAGAGCATATGACCTGGTAGGGCCAAGAGCTCAGGCCCTGGGGTCAGACAGACCTGGCTTCTATCCTGGTTCTATCAGAATCTAGCAAGTTATTTAACTCCTTTGGGCCTGATTCCTCCTCTGTAAAGTGAGAACAAGCCCGTGCTAAGGTTGCCACGAGGATTAAATGAGATACCCATGTCGAGTGCTCAGCATGACAGCTGGCACAGAGTAAGCAGGAATGGACATCTGCCCTTTCATTACTATTATTAGTGGGTGGATGTGGGATTCACTCTGGACCAGGATTCGGATCTGTGGCCTGTGTGCATGTGGGTGTGGTCCCTGCCCCCTCACCACAGTGACGGCGTCATTGAGCAGGGACTCCCCGAAGACGAGGATATGTAGCAGCTCGTTGATGTGAATTTCCTCAAAGACAGCCAGCACGGCCACGGGGTCCACGGCCGAGATGATGCTGCCGAAGAGTAGGTTGTCCAGGAGTTTAATGTTGCTGATCTGCTCGTCACCCACCAGGCACACGGCATACATGAGGCCGCCCAGGAAGAAGGCGTTCCACAGCGTGCCCACCACGGCGAAGATCAGGATGGTGCCCAGGTTCTCTGTGAACTGCCGCAGTGGCAGGAAGTAGCCTGCATCCAGGATGATGGGCGGCAGCAGGAAGAGGAAGAAGACTTCCGACTGCAGGAAGGGGGGCGTCTCCCCCACGCCCTTGATCAGGCCCCCCACCAGCAGCCCCACCACGATCAGCAGGCAGCTCTCTGGGACGATGCTCGAGATGGTGGGGATCACATGGAAACCTGCGGAGGGCAAGAGAATAGGAGGCTGCGGGCTTGCGTGGAGCCAGGAGAACAGAAGGTTGGGGACAGGGCCGAGGACGAGAAGAGGAGCTGGTGAGAGGGGCACAGGCTTGGCTTTAGATGGCTGCTCTCTTAACTGTCTGAGCCTCAGCTTCCTCACTTGTAAAATGGAAGCGATAATACCAGCTTGACAGGGTTGCTGTATAAACTAAGTGATGATGATGTTTTTAAAGTGCTTTTTTCAAAGGATATACAGATGCTCTGTCACTGTCATAAAATAGTAGAAAGAAGCAGCTCTGGAGGCCTCTAGAAGGCCAGAAACTATACACTGATTACTGAGGCTCCAAGTATCTAAGAGCATTACCTACACCTGAACCCAGGTCACCTTTCCAGGTACAAGCTCAGGGAGGCAGATGGGAGCTCAAGACCAGGCATAACGATCTAATAGTTCTGTCTGAGGGAAGACAGCAAGTTCCCCGTCTTGGAAGTGTTCAAGTGGAAGGCAGGCAACTAGCTGGTGGAGAAGTGACACAGGAGATAGAAAGAAGCACAGAAGAATCAAAGACCATCAGTGTAGGAAGGAACTTGGGGCTCATACCACCCCCCACCCGGGGTCTGAAAGCCTGCAGAACACATGCAGCAACCTCCAATCCCGGACCCACAGGTTTTCTTGCTGAGCCCAGAGAGCTGCTCCAGAAGACAACAGCAATCGATCTGTTTTGCATGTGAGACAAAACCTATTTGCCACCCTGTTTCTAGCCCAATCCCACTCACTTTGAAGATGGGGCAACTGAGGCTCAGAAAGGGGAAGGAACGTGCCCAAGGTCATATAGCAAATCCACAGCAGAACCAGGACAGAACCCAGGTCTGACCGTCCCCCCGGCCCACCCCAGCTCCTATCAAACTCCACAGTTAAGTCAACCCCTCCTGTCCAACCTCCCCGTTAAGGCATGAACAGATCCCTCTGCCTAAGACCCAGCAACCATCTCCCCAAGCCCAGTCCTGGCCGGCAGCAACAGCAGTAGGCCACTCTCTGCAGTGGCCTACCTTGGTGCTCCAAACTCAGAGCTGGGAGGCAGCAAAAATTACCTTCAGAGAGGGCCTCTTTCAATGCCAAGTTTGCTCCCCAAGCTCCCTTTGGTTTTTTTGGTTTGTTTTGGGGTAGCAAGGTGGGTAGAGAAGACCTGGGCATCTAGCTGCATCTTGGTACCATGACCCCCGGGGTCAGTTGGGTTAAGAGGGTATGACATTTTGCTCAAGGTGAAAGCTCTCATTCTCCTCCCTCCCTAGCCTGTAAGTTCTGTGCAGGCAGATTCCATATCGGCTTATATTTATATCCCCAGGACTGGGGACATAGTAGGTGCTCAACAAGTATCTACTGACTTGAAAACGCACAGAGCTGGGCATTATGTCCCATGATCCCCAATAACCTATCTGGCCAGGCCTCTGCTCTCATTACCCCTGAGAGCCTGGGGAAGGATAAGGAACATCTGTCTCCATCCTCCAGGCCCTCCTGCTCTCAGGTACCGATCTGAGTGTGCCAGCGTAGCTACAAGTCAAGACTCTCACTCAAAACAGAGCCGTGGCACAGTGCCAACCATCCAGGAGACCCTCAAAACAAATTGGATAAAAATCTTGTTTTATCCTAGGCCAGGAGAGGCCCCCGAAGCCACCACGTACATTCTCCTGACTTCAAAACAGACCTGACCAGAAGTCACCACTTTCGCTGAAAAGCCTTCACCGGGAACCACCAACGTTCAACTGGCTGCTATCCTGGGAAGGGCTAGGTCACGCTGAGTCCAAGTCTCTCTGGCTGTATAAGTTAAAGTCCAAAGTTTTAACACTGCCTCTGTCATCTGATCTTGCTCATGTCCCATACTCCCCACTTACATACTCCCATTCCTACATTTCAGCCTTGCCAAATTCTTTGCAATTCCCCTAACTGAGCCACATCCTCTTCCACCTGCAGACCTTACCTAGTCTAGTTTGTCTCTCCGGAACACCCCTCCTGTACCTCTACCCCCACTGTGTGTGGCTGACACCACATCCTCTTCCTGCTTCCTCGTCCGGGGAGTTTCCTGACCACCCTCGTGTACCCAGGTTAGAGCAGCAGTCCTTCTCTGCTGTCCCCCCCACTTTATAACATCTAATCCACAGTCACCGCCCAGATTCCTCTCTCTCCCTGGCAACGAGCAAGGTCAGACAACCCAGGCAGGAGCAGCGTAGACAGGACAATGGCACCACACCTCAGAGATCTGCACTGTCCTGGAGCATAGACAGGATGGCACAGGGGTTTAGGGGAGCGGAGCTCCTGCAGGCAGGGGCCAGGAAGCAGCTTCTCCAGCTCCAGTCAGCTGACCTCCTCAACACTCTACCCTCGACCTGCCCTGGAGTTGAGCACCAACAGCTGCCTTAGGGGAAGGCAGAGTTTAAAGAGACAGCCCAGGGCAGGTAGATGACAGCTTCCACCTCCACTGAGCATGTTACAATTTAAAAATGCCTTCCCACCCATCTACACCATCAGTCCAGTCCAAAAAGCTTTCCTGGTCTCAGGAAGTGCCAGACAGTACACTTGAGACCCAGAAACAAGTAAACCACAGCCCCTTGGTGGGGGCGAGGCAGCAGGTGTGTGAAACAAGCCAAGAGCAGTAACATGAAGAATGTTCATTACTCCTGAAGGTGCACCACAAGCCAGACACTGTGCTGGGAGCCTGGCACATATCATCTCTTTAGTCATCACAACAGCCCTGTGGGATAGGTGCTACCCCATTTTGCAGAAGAGAAAGCTGGGCTCAGCAAGATTCAGTGGCTTCCCCAGAGTCCAAGGGAGTTCTACTCTAGCTTAGAGCGTCTCAAACCCGCAGCAGAGGGAGCTAACGAATCCTTTACTCCAGCATGAGTATTTTCTCTGAGACAGGCCAGCCACGAAGGTGGCGCAGGGTCAGAACCTGTGAGGAGCTCGTGGGGATGGCCATGCTTTTCCCAACCTTGCAACCTTCAGGCCATCGAGGCTCCATCACTAGGTGAAGAGACAGCTGGCATTCCTATTTGACAGATGAAAACCTGGCGCACAGAGGAAGTAGGACATGTCCAGGCCACCCAGGATGAGGTCCCGGGCCTCGAGACTCAAATGTAATGCAGTTTCTCCCAAATAAGCCAGCTCCCAGAGCACTGGGGCTGGAACATGTGCCAAGCAGGGCTCCTCAGGTCTCCCGTGCTGGCCCTGTCTCTCGGCAAGCCCTGACTGGCATGGGAAGGGGAGGGCTGGGCCCAGGCTGGGAAGAAGGTCTGGGATCCACATTTGGCTCCTTGCCCATGGGTAGGCGGCACGTTACTGGAAAGCAGCTTCCTGGGGGGAGGGGGTGGAGTCCGTCATCAGATGCAGCGGCTCATGGAAGGAGAGGCCTGCAAACCTGTTCTTGGCTTGTCCCTCTCCCAAGACCCTGACCCCACCAGTCGTCCCCACCCTGCATCCCTAAAGAGTCCCCTCAAAGTGCAAGAAGTGGGGCCAGCCAGGTGGCGCAACGGTTAAGTTCACACGTTCCGCTTCAGCGGCCTGGGGTTCCCAGGTTTGGATCCTGGGTGCGGTCATGGCACCACTTGTCAAGTCATGCTGTGGCAGGCGTTCCACATATAAAGTAGAGGAAGATGGGCACGGATGTGAGCTCAGGGCCAGTCTTCCTCAGCAAAAAGAGGAGGATTGGCGGCAGATGTTAGCTCAGGACTAATCTTCCTCAAAAAAAAAAAAATAATAAAATAATTAAAAAATAATAAAAATAAAGTAAAATTAAATTTTAAAAAAAGCACAAGAAACTTGCTGACACCAGATGCAGTGAAACGGGCACAGTCAGTGCCCCTGGTCCCCTGATAAAGACCCAGCATTGAGGTGAGATCCCAAGATGCCAGGAAATTAGGCAAAACTTTCAGGGCCTGAACTTGCAGTGGTAACGTCACCAGGATGGAATCAGGGGTGGGGCAGAGGCAGTTAGAACCAGATCCAGAGCCGTGAGAGCTGGAACAGACCTTGGAGATCATCACACGGTTAGAGAAACTGAGACACAAAGAGAACCAGTGACCTGTCAATGGTCACATGACCAGTTCCACCATGAGAACCCATGAAGCTCCAAGTCCAGTGATCTCGCAAGCCACAAGGGCGAGGGCGTCCAGTCTTCCCAGAGCAAGGACACAAGAAGGTGTGGAATTCAACATCTCTGAGCCACAGATACAGTTCCGGGTGGCTCCCCTTTTAGGTGAAGAGGCTGGGGAAGGGGAGAGCTGTTTCTCATTCCGTCCAGTATAGGTGGCAGGTGGGCAACTGAAGGTACTGAGGGACCATACACATGCTCGCCCATACTCTCTCTCTTACACACACACTCATCCACACTCTCTCTCACACACATATCCACAGTCCCACCCTTACACCCACACACACCCACACTCTTGCTCTTACACACACTCATCCACCCTTGCTCTCTCTGATACACACACACTCTCTTATACACACATGCACACATATATTCACCCACACTCTCACACTCTCTTGACACACATACACATACACAGGCACACTAAACAGACACAACCAAACTTTGAATTAGTCAGTGGTTCCCAGCTCCTCTGCAGCTTCTCTGCTCCTCACCATGAGAACATTTTATTTACATCTCCTCAGACTGTCCCCATCTGCTGAGACTGGTGCAGTGGAGCAGGCAGGCAAGGCTGTTTCACATCACCCTTGGTTGCCAGCGTGACCAGACACCCCTGATCCCACTTCCGGCATCTCTCCCCTGGCCTGGGTAGTCAGAGGCGGGTGCCAGGAAGAGAGGCCCCCATGGCCCTCCAGTGCCAGGTCATCAGCGACCCAGGGCCACACGAGGGGCTCCACCGCCCTAGTTCCAGGCCTGAGGACTGCTCTGGGGCTGCAACTCGGCCAGGTCCCAAGGGATTCCTGGTTGCACAATGATTCCATTTCTTTAACTCCCTCTTCAACTGTCCCAGCAACC